TGACGATTTTTTCTCAACAGCATGAGAAATTGCTGCTGCTCTTGAAGGCGATTTGTTGTCTGGTAACATCTTCATTATAATTCCCATGGCTATAAGCAGCAGCCCGCTTCCATGTTGTTCTGTCATTGGCTTGGTAAATATCATGTATGAGAGTAGGAGAGTGACTGCTTTTCTTGCTGTTGTTATCTGCACGTATCAATAAAAGATCAGTTCACATTTTTCAGGTCAATGAATGGTAAAAATCCCAAGAAAGATAAACGTACCATTGCGGTTGTGGCAGCACCGAAAATGGCGATGAGGGACAAAACAGATACTTGACCAACAAATGTCGCCATGGCTTCAAACACCAAGACCCCGTAGACGTATGGGTGCTGTGATATATTTAATACGAAGTATAACCATTAATTAAATGACTAAGCCAGAGTAATAATAGTCCTATAAGAAGAATCATGTCTGATTTTATATTAGAACAATGGGCATAGGTTGACTAAGTTGCAGACAGGACATTTTCTTAGAACATAAAGAACTAATTAAATGGATGTGTTGACTGTTTAAATCGTTGACTTATGAGGAAAGGCCGGCACATAACAAGGATTACTTTATAAAGAAAATGATAAATAAAGAGAAGCAAATTGGCAAAGAGTTTGATCAAGTTATTTACTTCAGCACAAGAAGTCCACGCTCGAAACAGCTCCCCCGTTAACACCATTGGTGCTACTAAGAAAGGCAGGCCAACCACGGTCGAGCAAAATAACATCTCCGTCTGCCAGAGAGAATACCGAAACAGTATATCAACAATTGAAAGAACAGAAACCACCTTTTTTGCAGAATGTAAACATTTAGCACTCATTCTTGAACGAATAGAATACTGAGAAATGATATTGAGAAGTTATATCTTCACCATTGCATTTAAGAACCAAAGAGGATCAAACTTACCTGTGTGGTATCAGGATTCATTGTAAAAATGGCTTCCTGCAAATTTCCGAGAAAGGCGTCCATAATAAGAGCACCGCTTATCATAACAACACCTAAAATGCTGAAATTTGGAGAAGTCTGTGCATCCGCTAAGGTGAAGAGGATTAATCCAATCACTAAAAGAATTGCAGAGATGTACTCTTGAATTGGGTATTTCCTTCTCAAGCCAGGAATGAAGGCCCCCATTAACATAACAGGCAGAACCTGAAGTTTACAAAGTAAAAGGGTCAATCTAAAATCTCAGAGTGATGTTACCGATTCGATTCAAAGACTAATCCAGAGGTAAAACCTAAGCATATCATCTAAAATCTCAACAGTTTCTCCTGTTTGAAAACATGCCTTGGTAGATTTGAACATAATTTGTGCTGGATAGTTCAGAAAGGCCAAGGAGCCCTTGGTTAATCCATGAGATCCCATAAGAACAGCAGAGAGCTTCACATATGTCTTCCATGGGTTGACCATTTGCTTGGTCGTGAAACCTTGGAGATAAATAAGTGCCAGGTAAACAAATCCTTGCACAAATGTGAAATACCATCCATAACTGCAGAACTAAAATTGGGTAAGAAAAGGATTTAGCATAAACAGACAGTTCCATAGAGATGGAAGAAAAACTCCATACAAACAAGAAGATGGATGAAATACCTGAATTTAAGACGATTATAAACGTATTCCTGAGAACCAAGAAAATAGTAGTATTTTGTCAATATCAAACCAACTTGGTAATAGAAAGTTGACCAAATCATTAACCCTAACATAAGGGATGCTAACACAGAAATTCAGGACTACTATCTATGGAGAATCGAATTTTGAGGAACCATTGTTTTCGGAATACGAAACAGAAAAACTCTCAGCTCTCGCCTCAGAAAGTGAATTGACAATGATTCAAACGAGTACTGTTTTATAGAGAGAATTGGATTTCTGAATCATAAGTTTCGTTACAATAACCAACTCGATTTCCATGTTTCGAAAGTTTTCCTGCATACGAATTAAAGAAAGAGATACATACATCTTCTTCCACAGAAAAGCATGGAAATCAATCGAGAGCCAAAAACAGAACCAGCTCCAAGAATCAGCGTTTAGAAAAGAAAGCAAAAAAGAAAGAAGATAGGAAACAGACCTCGCAAACGCCATTAACAAGGTAGCCGAAGAAAAACCCAGAAGAACAAATGAGAAACTGCTGCCATTTGGGGCGATCAGTGAGGGAAATCCCGAAGAGGGACCTGGCTTGATCCTCGTTCTTCATCCTCCAGCACCGTAAACGCTAAAACGAAGAAAACCCAAACAAGAAAACAGCAAACCGCGAACAATAACTAAGACCCACAGCCACCCAGATAAAAATTTGTTAATTTGGAAAAGGGGCGGCTGTTACATTGGGAAGAAGAAAGGAATCGGAACAGAGGGGCTGTCTCCTTTTTTTTTCTTTTTCTTTTTTGTGTGTTTCTGCAGCTCTCGCGTTGACGTGGGGTTGAGTTTAGGGAGAGAATTTGTGAAACGGAAAGCGTTGAAACGAAGGGAAGAAGGAGAAGAAGAAGAAGAGGCTTAAGACACACGAAGAAATAGAAACGATTGCGAATTGCGAGACACTTGGAGGTGGGCCTCTCTCTCTCTAAAGCTCACGGCAAAACGAAGGGAAGAGAACTGGGAATTGGGATGGTATGTGAAATTACGGAAATGGATTTTTAGGACGAGGCGTGTGACGTGTCGCTCGAATTGCCTTCTAGGAAATTACGAAAACGGGCTCGCCTGACAGAAGTCATGGGATTGCGCTTGGCAAGGGCAAACTGTGGATTATTTGGATTTTATTTTTGCCCAAATTTAAAAGTTCGGCAGCCGCCTCTGACTGTGATATTGCATGACCGAGTCACCGTTACTTTGGAAATTGCGAATTTTGTTTTCAAGTTTTATGCTAAATATGTAATAAAATGGTCCTATTAATCCTTCTAATTAAAATTTATGCTAAATTACCAAAAGGAAAAAAAAATGAACTATGAACTTTGTCTTTTATTTTAAAAATATCTTTTATCTTTTAAGAATTTTAGTACTAGTCTTGATCATTCCTAATCATTTCAATAATACTTTTTGACAAACATTTGTTAAATTTTGAATGAAAAATTGACCTGGCAAAATAAAAAACGATATTACAGTTAACGTGGAAGTTGGATTAAGTCGAGAGAACATACTTTAATGTTTAGTTTTTTTAGTACAATAATTGACGATGAGGGATTAAACCTCCGATCTTAAATCGAATAAAGGTGTCTTAATTATTAAGTTATGCTCATGTAGACAATGTTAAAATTATTGATATTCGGTATCATTAAGATAATATATATGGATGTATATATGCTAAATAAAGCAATATCATCGATTAATGATATTAAAAATGGTCAACCCAAAAATGCAATGGATGTCTATTCTATTCAAGTATATTTGTGCCAATTTTAGGTTAAAAAATAAGATAAACATCTGATCATGGTATCAAATACCTGTCAATACGTCGACGTGTCCATCAACATTTCTATGTATCCATGAGTTCGACATCGATACAAGGGGTAAATCAATATTTCCATCCTACTATAGAAAAATTTGACAAAATATGAAAAATATCAACAAAATATTATTAATATATACATAATATTAATATTAATCATCCTTAGCTTATTTAAAAATAGAAAAATATTTATTTATTTATTTAAATATTTTTTTCCAATTTGTTATTTTATCTAACTTCTACAGAATATATATTGACATCAACAATTTATTGATATTTGTATGAAATTGAGATTTCGATATTTAAAACCTSTTAGAGTGAGTTTCTTTACAAATCTTTTAATTTTTTTTTTTTTAATCACACTAGAGATGCAAAAAGTCTCTATCAATGGTGGAATTCCCAAATGGGGTAGAATATTTCACACACTCTGGTCCCCAAATAAAATAATAATTATTATTATCAGTGCTTTAGGATGATGGTTACGTACTCGTGAATATACAATTTCTTTTTTAATTAGTTAAAAGTTATAAGACTATGTCATACCACATTTGTAATGGGAGAAGTAAATTACAAATTTAGCATTTGTACTTCATTTTAATTTGGTAGTTTGATGGAAAAAAAAAAGTACCCATATGATTTTTAAAACCCTTCAATTTAGTCTTTGACTTGAGTTTAAGCTTCAATTTGAAGCTTATATTTTAATTATAATTCATCCATCATTTATAAACTATTTTTTATTCATTGAAATCCCATTCATTGTTCTTTATTTTTTATTTTACCATCGAATTATGCTCGTTTTGACAATTTTTTTTTTATTTGAGATATATATATATCAATTACTATTGAACTATGATTGTTAGGGTCGCTTTGACAAATATTACTAACTTATTATCATGTAAATAAAATACGTATCATGTATTTGATATGGTAACGTGCTCTTTAATGAAATGAACGATTTGAGAATTATAAACTATAAATTGAAATTTTTAAGATAACAGTATCCTAGTAGAAATTTTTAAAATCAAGATCAATTAACAAAATATTAATTTAACCACGAAAACTGTTTAAGGGCCGATTTGCAATCTCAACCCAAATGGACGTCTTCAAGTCTAAGTAACCTGAATTTATCAATTATATTTATAAATATTTATTCTGCATACAATACAATTATTTATATGCTTTATTCATTCTCATTTATATAACTATCCTCACTATTTTTTCTTTATTTTTTTTAACTACACACTTTTTTTTAGTTCCACAATTACACCATTATTCACTTTAAAAATATACAATTCAGAGTAAGATGATAATATAGACATATGTTAATTATCATTGAACTACGTAAACTATTCTAATGTAATTTAAAAATAAAAATAATGATAATATAATAACGATTTAGCACATAAATAGAATTAAGTTTCAATGGGTTACTCATTATATGTGATAATTTAAACCAAAGTGTTGGCTTTTAATTGGTTAGTTTGAGAAAGTTGAATGTATTAGGTTCAAAATTAGTCAATAATGCAAATGAGAAGCAAAATTAAACTACCGTGTGATTGGATCAATCTTTTCTTTTTCATTTTCTTTTCTTTTTTAACCTTGACTTTACATTCCAAATTTGCTTCTCAAGTCCGCCCACAGCGTTAGATAACTCCAACCCAATCAAATAGAAGGAAAAAAAAAAGGTTGTGATAGCGTGATTTCGAATCGTTTTCAATTTAGTCTCAATATATAGATTTTTTTTTTACTTCTGGACACACTCGAATCTGGATCGACACCCAAAAATCTCTTATCACTGTGTCAATATCTGTTGTTTATACAGCAAGAAGTTGTATTTTCTATTTAGTTGATTATATCAGCTAAATGTATTAGATATTAAGGTTGAAATAAAAAGAATTACAACAAAATGGCAGATTTTTATGGGGGTAAAAATTTTCAGTACCATTGCATTCGATTGAATCCAATTATGCTCTTTATTTTTTCCTTCTTACCTTAAATAGAAATGTTCTCAAATTTATTATTCTAACCTTCTTGACCATTCCTTCTTTAATTTACTATTACCTTAGAATTCCATTTACCCCCATTTTCCACAATATTTCATATGTTCTGGGCTTAAATTAAAGGGGTTTCATATGATTTTTATATGCGATTACAACAATAATTTTGTGTGTGTTTTCTTATATTATTTATTTGGACCGATCTTCTTTTATCTTGGGTATATTATATAATAAGAAAGAAAGAATCTCAAATAAGAGAAATTAAACGATTGAAATTTGAAAAATAAATTGAATATAATGTACTGCTATGAAATCATGGAAAAGATATGCGATAAAGAATCACACGACTAAGAAAAATAAAATAAAAACAACACCAATAAAAAACGGCATATAATTAAGATAAATAGGAAAACTAATATTAAAATATAACATGAATATATCTTAAAACTTGAAAACAACATTAACACCAAGTTATCGTGAATATATAATTTAAAATTAATCTCCATAAAAAGATTAAAATAATCTAAAAAAATCAAAAGTTGAAGATAACACGAATACATAATAAATTTATACTCTATCCTTTAATCGATTAAATAAGTTTCTTGAAGTAAGAAAATAAAAGTCTTCATTAATGTTTTAAAAATGAGTTTTAGGTCAAATAATATAAAAAGAAATAATCTTGTTATGATACCTATATGGATGCATTAGTTGCACCTACCGAAATTTGAAATGCAAAATAGGTATATAATTAAAAGTTGAGGACAAAAATCAAATGTAAAAATTCTTTCTCCATAACCTCATTTATATCTAGTATAGATAACAAATTTGTCTTAAATAATGGATATTTGTCCCATGATAAAATATTTTGAAAAAAATGACACGAAGTTTAGGAATCTATGTATTAGTAATATACTTTTCTTTTTTTAATAAATATTAGTAATGTCTTTTACATTAGACATATTAGAGCAAGAGATTTTGTATTCAAACCCCTATATTATTATTTCCTCCACATTTAATATTGATTTCTATTTGTTGGATTGTGTAAATTTTCAAGTGCACAAGTGACCGGGACTTTATCCTAATCTAACTTCTAAATTCATGGGTGATTTATCGTATTTAAAATCTTTGTATTGATTTATTAATAATAAATTTTATATTATACTAAAAAAAATATTTTATATTAGCTATATTTGTGATATATTTGATCAACCATACAAAAATGTCAAATAAATTATATACGAGGGAAAAACAATTACCATTTTCACTTTTCATGCAACAAAATTTGCAAATACAGTACGCAGTTTAGGCACCAATTTCATAGAGAATTATGAAATATATAACTTCAAAGCTCAAAAACTAGTCAGTAGCCAAACCTACTTGCCGCCCTAATATGAGTGATAATAATTTCAATTCAACTAAAATTTTAGGCTTTTTTTTTAATCCATTATTAACAAGTAGATTTGGCTGCTAATTAGCTACGAACTTTTTTTTTTTTAAATGAGAGAAAATAAATAAATCGAAGCTAGCAGAGGTCAATTAATAGCTCGTGGAGCAAGGAAATCCAAACCTCAGCTTCCAACTCCGACGCCAATTCTTCCTTTTCTCCGGCGAAACTTCTCCACTTTCCGGCCTTCTCCATTTCATTAACGTACAAACTCCGCCCCTCCGCCACCTCCCATCCCGTCGTCATCAACGCCGTTCCTCCGTCGATCCAATCTTCCGTCAATTTCAAAACCTCTGCCTTAAACTCAAACTCAAAATCACCTCCTCTTCGGCATCCGCTCTCATCCGCCGTCGATTCGATCTCCTCGAGCTTCTCGTGGAAGAAATCAAGCAGCAGATTCTCCGTTCTGACTATGAAGCATTCCGATTTGATCCTCGATTTGACGAGATTCAGAATTTCCAACGCCCTCTCCTCCCTCTGGTGCTCTGTTTTTGATATCAAGCAGAAATCGCGGCGAAGCCCTAAATCTGCGAATCGCTTCTTCAGGTCCAGTGGTTCCAATTCGGCTCCGTTCTCGAATCGCCTCGTCTTCGGCGGATTCTTCTGCTTCTTCCCTGTCATTAATCACAAAACGCCTTCAGTTTTGGTGTTCTCTGCAATTTTTAATGGAGAGATTGAGAGAAAGAGGAGAGAGAGAGAGAGACCTTCGATGAGGTGAAGATTGCAGTTGAAAGATGAGGAGATGTGTTGATCTTCGTCATCGAAAGGAAAATCCAACACCGAAACTGGACTGAACTGTTCTTTCTCTTCCTCACTCCGCCATTGCTCCTGCAGTATTCAAAATTGAAAGTTAAAACACACAAATGGTTAATTGTTAATATTATTCACTTCAATAACAACAAAATTTACATTACGATAGATATTACGAATTCTATTATTAAGGTCCGAACAATTTTATATAAACTTTGTGTAACTTACGTTATTTTCTAAATTTACAATAGAACAGCATTAACTTGAAAGTTTGCAACCAAAACTAAATTTTACTACATATGATGTAGCAAATAAATAGAAAGGTAGTACCATACTTTATTGCTTGTAATTAATAAATAGAGTGTACTCAAAAGAAAAAAAATAAATAAATAGAGTAATTAATTATCAGCACTACATTTATTGAACTTGAAAAAGGATCCTAAAGTTTCAATTGTTTAGAGGTGTTTCCTCCAACACTCTTGCAATTCAATTAATTAAGATTTAAAAATCAGTAATAGAAAGAAAAGTTTTAAAACTTTCTGTAATTATATCCCCTAAGTTAAGGCCTAGTAACACTTTTCATGATTTAAAATTTAATAAATTGTGATATCTTTAATATATATATATATATATATATATATATATATATATATAGTGACAACTTTATCATAATATCAAAATTTTTAATCTTGATAGACATACATGAATAGACGACATTTATAAATGAAAATTGTCACAAAAAAAACAAAATTTGTAAATTAATATTAATACTATGTGCCCTGAGCAACARACCAAGTTAGATCAAAAGAAAAAAAAAAACAGGAATGCCATAATTTAAAATGAAATATAAAAAAAAACACACAAAAACAAGAACAAAAAATCGGAACTATAGGCAGCCAAAATCCCCATGATTTACTTACCGACACATATACAGCCAGCAGATGACAGACCAATAATTTTAAAACACTAGTTTAGTAGTTTTCCATGGAATGGCATAATGGTAAATAAACCCAGAAACGTTAAGAAACTCAGAGGACGCGATCTAGTATCGCGTGTACCATGATACCAAAAGGCTCGCAAGTCTGAAAGCCGTAGATGCCGCTGCGTTGAGACACATGGCGAGATCGTAGACCTCGATGAACTCGAATGTATTTAATTTGCGTGTCTCTGAGTCGCACCCTAACCTTTCCCAAGATATACCCCACACGTGAAATTAATGGAGTCCCAAGGTCCAGCTGTATTTTCTCTATCTATTATTTATCTACGCAAACTCTATAATTTAATTCTATGAAAATTTCAAATCATAGGTTCCCCGTTTTTTAGAAAAATATTTCTTCAGTCCAATTTTGTCACGCTAAAAACTAGTATTTAATTAAAAACTATCGTTAAAAATTAAAATCAGAATTTAATTAATAATTTTAGAATTCAGAATTAGTTTAGAGTATTGGCAGTTGGGTGGTTTAAAAAATGAACGGCGGAGATGGAATGAAGAGATCAATCAGGAAATTCTGACCTTAACGATTTCCTCCCGATAGGCAGTGGTAGTTGCGGCGTCGGCGGTTGTTTCCTCCATGGAATCTTTTCCGAACGTTACGCCTTCTCTTTTGCCGATGAAATTTTCAGGCGAATCCTTAACATCTTTGACGGCGTCGTTTTCGCTGGAACTCTCGGAATTACCGCTGGAAGACGGTATCATCTCCGAAGCGAATTCGCTCTCCGTCCAACTGTTGCTGTTACTGCAAGAACTGATCGAGTTTCTACCGGCGACGGCAATGGCGGTGCAGGCGGCGGAGTCGGAGCGATTCTGATGACGAGGCGACGGCGGTTCTTTCTCGTCGAGAAATTCCTGAAACGATTTCCAC